GTTGGCAAGCTGGGGGGCAAGGGGAGCAGGTGCCCTCGGTGCCCGGCCCACCCTCATCCCCAAGACTGAGGTCCCCTTCCAGCCCAGTGACAGCCGCCGGCTCGGGGTGCCCGTGGCTCCCCCCTCCTCTGCCCCAGCGTGAGGCCGGGTGAGCTGGGGAGGGACTGCCCAGGGCCACCCTCCGCCTCGGGGCTGAGAGCCGAGGGGTGTGTGCTCCCCTGTGTCCTCAGAGCCCCCAGAGCCCATGGCAGTCATGGGCAGCCTGCTCCTCCTTCCCCGGTCTCCCCGGGGCCCTCCCTGAGCTTCCTGAGCTCACTCCGCAGGTGAACTGCCTTTGCCTGGGCCCTCAACTCAGGGCTGCTTTTGGGGACCCCAAAACAAACAAAAAACGGGTTTTGGCACTTCCTTCCTCTTCCCTGATGCCTGGAGCTACAATAAAACAGTTCAGGTCTGGGTTCCACACTCCAGCCAAGGGTCTGGGCGCTCTGTCCGTGAGTGAGCTGTGGGCAGTGGGGCGGGGGACAGGGCTGGGGACTTACACTCTGGTCTTGGTCGTCACTCCTCAAGTGCTGGGCAATGAAGCTGATGCCCTCTAATGCGTCCTGCACATCCTGCTGGAACCTCCCGGAAGACCTCAGCCGGAAACCCTGGGCCGTGCCCGCCACGTCGGAGCCGGACCCAGAGCCGGCCGGGGACTTGGGGGCTGCAGAGGCGGGATTCACAAAGTACATGGAGCTCCCATAGAGGCTGGGGGTGCTGGCTGGGCCTGCAGCCGAGGCGGAGGCGGCCTCGGACCGGGTCAGGCGAGGCTGGCTGGGCTGGGGGGTTCTCGAGGGGCTGCTGTCCGGGCGCTTCATGAAGAGGACGGTGGGCAGCTTGTGTAGGAAGCAGCGCCGGACCCAGGGCGCCATGGTGTGCGTGCTGGGCGAGCGGTGGTGCACGTTGAGCACGCACACGCTGGTGACGATGGAGAAGGTGACGAGCACCATGGTGAACATGAGGTACTTGCCGACGAGCGGCACGTCCAGGGAGGTGGGCGGCACGATCTTGGAGATGAGCAGCAGGAAGACGGTGAGCGCCAGGAGCACGGAGATGCACAGCGTCATCTTCTCGCCGCAGTCGGACGGCAGGTAGAAGACGAGGATGGCCAGCGAGGTGATGAGCACGCAGGGGATGATGAGGTTGATGGTGTAGAAGAGCGGCTTGCGGCGGATGATGAAGTCGTACGTGATGTCCACGTACGTGGAGTCGTCCGGGTTCTCGTTGCGCCGGCCGGGCAGCGCCACGATATCCCACTCGCCGCTGGGGGTGAAGTCGTCCAGGCTGGCCACGTCACTCTTGAGCACCAGGTCGATCTCCGTGCGGTCGTAGGTCCACGAGCGGAACTTCATGGTGCAGTTCTGCTGGTCGAACGGGAAGTGCTTCACTTCGATCTTGCACGCGCTCTTGTAGATGGCGGGCGGCAGCCAGAAGATGCTGCCGTCGTAGGAGACCACGGCGTTGGAATAGAAGGACACCTCGTACATGCCGTCAGCACTGCCGAGGGAGGAGCGCGGTCAGCCCCGGCTCACGCGTTCCTGCACCCCACCCATCAACCCGGCCCTGAGCGGGAGGAGGGGAGAGCCAGGTCTGAGGGTAACCACCCAGGAGTCGGCAGAGGTGGGGCAGGAATTGAGCAAGAAGGGGACCTGGGTGAGTTGGTGGTCAGGAGGCCTGTGAGGCCTTTTGGAGGCAGAAGAGGGTGGATGACGGGGGCTGTCTGCTACTTGTCGTGCATTGTGCAAGCTGGTTGCTCCCCATGCAGAGGAGACGCTGGAGAGGTTGGGGGAGCCAGGGAGGCCAGAGTAAGGAGCCCCAAGCAATGAGGGGGACAGGGGCAGGTGGGAGCAGGAGATGCACCCACTAGTGATTTAGGATCTTGGAGGTAAGTGGGATTATTGCAGGAAAGGGGACGGAACCCAGAGGAGACACTGGGGCCTCCAGGTTCTTTGATCCTGAACAATCCTCCATCAAAGGCTATTCTTGAATCCATATAGGCGCTGGGGCTGTCAATCCTTGTCTCTATCCCACTGAGGCTCCCAACAATGGGACTCAGATTTGGCGGAGAGGGGACTGGCCATGGCCCAAATCACCTTGGAGTCGTCTGGGTTTTCCACATTCCACCTCACTAGTCTGGGTCTGTCTGCTGCATAGTGATGGTGTCTGTGCCAACAAGAAGTCCCTTCTGTCCCGCTGTGCGAGCTAATTTACTTTCCCTAAGAGCCCTTCCCTCTCAGAGCACCCCTGTGGTCTCCTCCAACCTTCCCGTTGCTCCAAGGCCACCTACTTGTTGTACAGAACCACATCTGGGAGCCAGATGTGTTTGGAAGGGAGCCGAACTTTCTTCATGTTGTCAAACTCCTCAGGCTTCCAGGTGAGCCGATAGTCCTCCCATTCCTGGGAAAGGGAGAGAGGGAGAGAGGGAACCTTACCAGCCCATGCCCTTGCTGAGGCTCAAGGTCAAGGACAGGATGGGAGGTGGGGGAGGAGGGGGGAGGCAATCTGGCTTGAGGAGGCTTTGAAAAGGCATCCCCTCCCCACAGTGACTTCCCTGCCCAGCAAATGTGGCTCATAAGATAGTTTCTCATTTAATTTGCACATCTAAGCTATTAGAATCTACATTTTACAAATAAGAAAATGAATTTTGTAGAGTTTAACATGTTCAAAGTCACAGAGCTGGTGAGTGGAAGCACCAAGTTTCAGATCCAGTTATTTAGCACTCCAAAGTCTATACCTTTCTGCCTTTTTTGAGGAGATTAAAAGAGGAGGAAAGCACATGCAAAAAAACAAAACAAAAACAAGGAGGGAAAAGCAGACCAGGGATGTGCACTGGGCAGGAAGAGCACTAACCTGGGTCAGCCAGACGTTGGTGGTCATGATCTGCTCCCGCTCGTGCTGCAGGGAAGAAGAGAGGCTGCTGAGGAGGCCCCTCAGCCTGCAGGCTCGCTACAGCCACCCACGGTCCTTCCCATGCCTCCCAAGCCTGGGGAGACCCAGGGGAGTCGTTCCGGCTGTTTGGCTTGAGCGGCTGGGCAGAGAGTCTGGGCCCCCACTCACCACACTAATGAGCTGGGCCAGGGACACCATGAGCTGTACTGTGACCAGCTCCGAGCCATTGGGGGCTGGACGAATGAGCTTGTTGTACCGGGAAGGATCCAGGAGATGCTCTACCAGCCGCTCCTCCGAGTCAGTACCTGAGACCCCTGGGCGGGAGGCAGGAAGGAAGGAAGTAGGCAAGGAGGGCCCACCTAGCATCCCACTCTCCCTAGGCAGTGGGGCGACCAGGCCAAAGCAGGAGCTCCCACCTCTCCATCCCTAAGGATACAGCAAAATGCTTCGGTTATCCCACGGGGGCCCCTCGTAGAGAAACCCTACTCTGAGATCACCGACCAGGGAAACCAGACAGCCTCACACAGATGTCTCCAGACTAAAAACCCATTCTGCAAGGATTAGTGGAGACCCGCTCTTCCTGCAACGTCTCAGACTATGGTTTCAAAAGACTTGAGATTTCTTGTTTTCACAGCTTCTCCCAAAAGATCCCTGCAGTTCAGGAGGGTTTTGGATGGTGGTGAAAGGGAACAGCTCTTTATTTCCCACCACACCACCTTTCTCCTCAGTCAGGGACCATCTGTGTACACAAGTAACATTATGCGCCTCCACACGTGACTTGGGCCCTGACCCCACCCCACCCCCACCTTCAAAGGCACTGGGTTGGCGAGGATAGCTGGGCTGCCTGCGCTGTGTGTCAGACGTGTATTCAGTCCCCAGTTCCACACATACGGGAGCCCACCTCCCATGAGATGGCATGCAGGTGTGGGAAGCTCATTTAGCTGCACAATCCCTTTGTACCCGCCCCTCCACAGACTCTCCTGCAGCCCTGCACAATGTACCCCCACCCCTCAGCCTGGCAGAGCGCCTTCCCTTCCAAGTCTTCCGTCCCACCATACAAGAGAGTTGAGAAGTCACTTCTCTCCCCTTCCTGTCTTGCCCCTGTGGAGTGGCTGGAATCAGGAGCCCAATGTGGGGCACAGAAAATGATGGAGAGCTAAGGGAGGGTGCCCTTCCAGGTAGAGTTCTGGAGATAATGTTTCACGGGAAGTCAAATGGCATCTCAGCCGCAGAGTGTGACCTCCTGCCACCCCAGAAGGCCTGGGGAGACTCCCTCCCGTGCCCACGCTCTCCCCACCACCATTGCCCGGATCTCCCTCGCTTCCTTGCATCGCCTACTCCTTGGGGGATGTCCTCCTCCCAGCTCGGCCGCCCAGGCGTCCCCCCGCAGGCTCCTCCATCTCTGGGGGTCCCCCTTGCAGCTTGGAGCCCGGCCTTACCGGCGCGCAGCCCGAGGAGGCCGAAGCCCAGCAGCAGCGCCGCGGGGCTGGAGCGCAGGGCCATGCCGCGGGCGGGGCGCTGTCCGCGGTGCTGAA